TAGAGTAATAAACTGATAAACACCTCTCCCCCTGTCTACAAGTAGATGATGCTGCCTATAGTTGATAAATTTTGGCATAGTGTCGCAATTCTGAATATGTAGATTTTGCTTGTTCCCAGATTTCATTTGCAGTTTCAGCCCACATGAAATTCTTCCTTATTTGAGGTTGCATGGACACCAAGAGCCAAGATATAACTATACTGTTCTCATGATTCCATCTATCATATTCAGCATTCCCAGAGGATGGTTCTTTGATCCTCCCATTAATATAGCCTATCTTCCCCCTTGCAGTGATGTATAATTTGATCCCTCTTGACCACTCTAGGTAATTTAAACCATCAAGAGGGACAACAGCCATAGGAAAGGATAGGTCACCCCCACCCATTCCATTCAGCATTGAGGAAACTCCAGATGTGGCTGAATCTTCACTGCCCATGATATCGGAATAAAAAAGAAACAACAACTAAATGAGTACTATTGTACAAGGCTATTGCAGAAAACAGGTCCTTCTGACCTACGGTTTCACTGGGAGCAAAGTCTGAACACTGCTGTTGCAGTACTGGAACAGGTCCTTTTGACCTACGGTTTCACTGAGAGCAAAGTCTGAACACTGCTGTTGCAGTACAGGAACAGGTCTGTATGACCTACGATTTTGTAGGGATCAAAAAGAAACACTGCAGTTGCAGTACATCACTAGGTCTGAATGACCTACAATTGAACAAAAGTCATATGACCTCCCAACAGAGTGAAAAAAAAAGAGGGTGAAGTTTACCACACACCTAATCAGTAGGTCTGATAGCCAACCAGTCAATGAGATCAACAGGGTAGCCGAACAGTCAATCAGTAAGATTAATACAATATCAGCTTCAGGACATCATCAGTCCATAATACCAAAAAAATCAGCTGAATACAACTGCTTTGTTAAGGAATACAGTCAATCAATCGGCTGAACAGTCAATCAATAAACGGTTAATCAGTAGGGCAGCCAAACAGTAGATGACCAGTACCTCTTTTAACTTCTGATGATAGTCTCTCTGTAAACCAGAACTTCCTCTACGAACCTCAAATGATAGCCTCTCTACAGTCGAGCAGACAAGGGGTACAACTTCTGGGCTGGAAGATGAAAAGTCTCTGTAACTTCTGGGTCGAACTGAGTACACCAGATTAGCAGTTCAATGGAGACAGCTCTGGGAGATGAAAAGTCTCTATAACTTCTGGGTCGAACTGAATACAACAGCTTAGCATTTTGAGGGTTGCAGCTCTGGGAGATGGAGAGACCATTTGCACGACATTGAACAACAGGTTTGCTTGACACCACCCTTCAGGCCTGGACGACTTGCTCTGATACCATGTTGAGCAAGAGCAAGAGAAGAGAGGAGAGTCGAGTGGACTGAAAACCCTCCAGAATACTGGGGGCAAGTGTAAGAGATATTATTTATACTGGCCCAGTCGTACAATATAAAAATGGGAGAAATTACAACAGTACCCTTGAGGTACTAAACCTGAGTATACAAAACAACTGTCAACAGTATTTTTAGTTGTAAAGTGGCTTGGAATTGTATTCAGACCAGTCAAAGTGCAGTGCCTTGGAGCAGGCTTGTTGGAGAACTCTTAGGGGTAATCTCCCTCTAGATGGCAGCATTAGAGAGTTGGGAACACTGGCTTCGAAGGTCTGGAATTACTTCAGTTGTCTATTGTACATGTAGAGAAGATGGGCCGAATGGCCCATAGGCTGTTATTCTTTGTTATATTTTATGTTCTTTTCTGTAACGGGCCTTATTCTGGGCCCATCTTCTTCTATGCTAAGTTTTTTTGTAATTTCTTGCCCAACCAAGGGCCTCCCTTGTAATTATTCAAAAATTAACTTAATGAAATAGTGTTAGAGTGTTAGAGGGAGAGATTAGTTCGAACCTCTCRTTCTCTAACCCTCTTTGCCGCCAGCTCTCTCTTCATCTTCTACCAATCTTTTCAGCTGTTTTACTCCTTTTGATTTTTCCATCTAATCCTATACAGTCCCATACTTCGAAGGTCTGTTTTTCAACTGTACATTCCTATAATTCCTTTGCAATTGTCCAGAGAAAGAATATTATATTGGTTCAGTCATGAAACTGGACCAGGAACACAAATTAAGATGTTATTGCTTCCATACCACAATTGATTCTCTAGGAAGTTTGGAAGGAAAGATGTGTTGACGAATGGAGAACATGGCTAAACTGGCATCTTCAGTGATCTATAAAATTTGCTCTTGGTTGCAGGAAATCAGGTGGAGCAACCCTATACATTGGTCCTTAATGAGGGAGGATCTTATCTTAAATATCTTACATACCTCACCTTGGTCTTGCTACAGGACTAGACTTTTGATTTGTAAAATGGTGTCCTCCGGGTGAAGGAAAATTCAAAGTGAATGTTGATGGAGCTTGCTCTAGAAACCCGGTCCCTTCAGGTGGTGGTGAAATTTTAAGAGATGAAAAGGACCACTTTATATTTGGTTTTGCTAGCTGGTATGGTATGGGAACTAACATAACTGCAGAATGCTGAATTGTTCTTGATGTTCTCCATCTCAGTAGGTCTTTGGGTATCTTTTCTCTCACACTTGAGAGTGATTCCCAGGTCCTGATTGACATTTTAAATTCTAAAGCATGAGCTCCCTGGACTATTCATAGTTGGTTGAGATTAAGGAGGTTGTTGCCACTATGGATGTTCACTTTGCTCACATTTTGAGAGAAGGTAGCACAGCTGCAAACTCTTTATTGAAGCATGCGCTGTGGTTCAAATAGGATGTTCTACTGCATTGGGTCATTTCTCTTCTCTTCCACATACTTGTAGATCAAATTATTTTGATGATCTTTTGTAAACTCTAAAAATTGGAGTATCTTACTTTTTTGGTTGGGGTTTTGAGTTGTGAGGGTGCGTTCATTATACCTGGGTTTGGGGCAAGGTGGGTTATATGCTCCCCTTTATTCTTTGCTATTATTATTGTTATTTTTAATAAAATTTCAAGGTGGTCACCCCTCCACCTGGAGTAGCATTTGGGGTTAAAAAAATATAGGATAACATCTGCCATCATGGCTGACCTAACTTAGAGAAGAGAACAAGAATTCTTTTTTCATGGAGTCATTAGACAAATTTTGTTGTCACTCTCAGTCCCATAAAAGAGGCCAAACACTGTAGTTATTTGTTCCCTTATTTTATTACGTCATCCCAAATGCAAGATAACCTGCATCCTCACAAATCCCTATGCTAAAGCTTCTAAATTCAAGTCCAAAGCCACCTAAAAACAATGGTTTCTGTATTCCAACTACTCAAGACACAAAATCTACTAGTTTCTCATATTCCATTTGTTAGAATGTTAGAATGAAGTCTCTTTGTATGAGTGTTCRGCTGATAAGAGTCTTATTAGCCCATACTTAAGTTAAATCATCCTGTAACTGGGCCTGGGTTAATGGGCCTAAGCCTGTTTAATGTTTTAAGTTAACTGGGTGTCCCATCACTAATCAGGGGCATTCCAGTAAATTCTTGTACCATTGTACTTCATTCAAATATAAATCATTGCTGGTCGACTGAACAGTACAGTTTGACATTTCCAGCATACCTGTGGTTTTCTTCTTCACTTCTCTACTTTGAATACAGCATTCAGCACACAACATTTATACTTATTTGCTAATTTTATGGGTCTTTATGTTACCTAACTTCTAGCACTATCAAGTGAACATATTTAAATGGTCAATTCTTGTGCTTGAGCTTTCAGTGCAAGTCCATCTAGAAGTGAATTTTACATGATGATGTTTTTAATCTTGGAAAATTTTTTAACTAGGAGCCAGCCTTCCAAGAATTGATTTTACTTTATACTGAGGATATGCATCAACATGATAAAGCTGAAGCTTCTTCTTTGCAGCTGAAGATCTATGAGAAGATCCCTATTCCAGATCTTCCAGTAAATACTTCTAAAATCTTTTCTTCTATATTCTTTCCTTAATTAAATCTTATGGATTTTAGTATTCTATGTGTTTTATTCACTTTCCTGAAATGCTATGGATACTTGCATTTACATTTTTCATATAACCATTCATTTTGTGCAGGTTATTTTTCCACACAAGAAGCTGTCTTTCCGTATCTTAGACTCGGTATGAGCTTTGTATGAAATTTATTATAGATTTTTTTATCAGCATATTGTTTAAATATTCATCATTAGTTAGTACAAATACCACCTAGTCTAGAAGAAAGTTTTATGACAGTCACAAGGCCAGTGCGTAGCATTATTTTAACCCAAAACATTCCCAGTGGAGGGTTGGCCACTTTTAAATATTATTAAATTTGATATCCTCTACTGTGTTTCCTTCCCTGTACATGTGGGTGAACTATGAAAACAACCTCTAGCTTACTCAAAAATTCCAAGACATCTGACTTCCAATACCTTAGCTTCCACTGGACTGAAACTTGGCCAGTCACAATCTGGATCAGCATCATAGAATCAGAGCATGCTTCCACCTTATCTGAACCCATGGACAGAGCCAGATGAAGGCCATCAAGAAGTGCATGGGATTCTGCAAACATATTGGTGTTAACAGTATAAAAGTTAGCAAAAGCAGAAACAGGAATCGTCTAGTTCTCTCTCTCTCTCTCTCTCTCTCTAGTGTGAGTTCGTTTTTTTTTTTTTGATCAATAACACACTTCATTAAATTCATTAGAACTTTCAATTATAATTACAAAGAGGAAAACAAACTTTCTTATCTTCTAGCTATAACTTGAGTCCCAAGAGAAGGAAAAAGAAAAAGAGAAAGAGAAGGGGAAACAGGAAAAATAATTACAACTGTGCCCAGAACATTGACTCCCTCTCCACCCCTTGTTTAGCTAACCCATCAGCAAAAGAATTAGCTGATCTTTTTACCCAACTGATTTTAACCTCCATTTCTCGAGCNACCTATACGGATTGCTCCTGAGGTGGTTCTTACTTGGTGACAGTGGGGTATTCTCTACTGCATACACAGTGTTCGTAAAAGGGCCCTTTAATTACTACGGACTGTGTTTTGCTCTCTTTAGGGCACTTATTGTTGGGAACCTAGAATCCCTAACTAGAAAGGTACTCCAATCGGGTACACAGTGTTTGGAGGTCTGCTGGTTACCTCTTGAAGGCTGAATCAAGTCATCTTCTTCTTGAAAGAGCTGTTACCGAGCTTGGTTCTCACGGCTGTCGGGTGTGAGTTGGCCTTGTGAGTTGCTGTGTTTGAGGCCGATTAACCGAATCTGAAGCATTTACATGATGGACTCCTCAGATATTGATAGTAAGAATGTTGCTGAATATGGACATGCTTTGGGAACCTCAACTGATTCTTTGTTGACTGTGACCATGGTTAAACTGGATGGAACCAACTATCTGGCATGGTCACAATCTATGAAAATTTATATATGTAGCAGAGGAAAGTGGGGGTTTATCTCCGAGAGCAAGAAGGCTCCCCCAGAGGATGATCCCTCTTATGAGAAATGGATTCAAGAGAATTACACCATTGTTGGGTGGAGTTGAAAGTATAGGATTGCTTGAGATTAGATGCAAAACCAGAAAAATGAACAAGAGAAGATTAAGAAGTTGAGAGAGAGAGAGAGAGAGTGCTAGCGGCAATGAGAGTTAGAGAGTGAGAGGTTCAAACTAAACCTCCCTCTAACACTCTAAACATTTTATTAAGTTAATCTTTGAAATATTACAAAGAGGCCCTTGAGTGGGCAAGAAATTACAAAAATAGAACATTACAGAGTATAGGCCCAGAATAAGTCCCATTATAGAGGGAAACATAAACATAACATGAAATAACAGTCTATGGGCCATTCGGCCCATCTCCTCTACAGGTGGCTTGTGAATTCAATGCAGCCACAGATTAGTCAACATTATCAATGGATGAACTCAGCAAAGGAAATCTAGGACAGTGTTGCAGAAACCTATTCCTAGAAACTAAATGTAGCCAGAGCCTATAAATTGAGAAGTGATGTGAAGAATTTAAGATAGGGGGAGAAATCCCTTGCGGTATACTTCTCAACCTTGAAGTCTTTGTGGCAAGAAATTGATCTAATAGAAGCTGTAATTTGGGACACTACCAATGATGCAGAAACCTACAGGAAATTAGTTGAAAGAAACAGGGTGTTTGAGTTYCTAACTAGACTAAACCCAGAATATGACATCACAAAACAAAATATTTTATCCAAGGAAAGTGTCTCATTGTCACAAGCGTATGCTTTGGTCAGTAGTGAAGAAAGCAGAAGGATGGTACAGGTTCAAGGGGTTGGCACTAGTGATCACTTTGCAAATATGGGGGTTAAACCCAAAGGAGTTGTGGGGGCTCCTAGTGGCTCTGGAAAGAAAGAAGTTGTATGTGAATACTGCAAGAAGCCAAAGCACACCAAAGACAAGTGCTGGAAATTACATCCCGGTCTTGTTCCTATTCGGTTCCAGAAGAAACATGATAGTAGAAGGACAGGGAGTGCAAATGTAGCCACTGGTCCAGATACTGAAGTTGAGTCTGCCTGTGCATAGTTGGCGGCCATGAAAGTTGAGTATGAGAAGTTTGGAAAGATGATCAGTCATCTCGAAGGTGTAACTTCATCTTCCAATCCTTCAGGAAGTTCAGCCACTTCTGCATTTGCTCACTCAGGTATAAGAGCTTCTGCTAATCATGCAACCACTTCAAGTAATCTTAAGACCCCTTGGATTATCGACTCAGGTGCTTTTGATCACATGACCAACCTTTCTACTTTGTTTGTTTTGTATGATTTCCTTCCCACTGTGTTTTTCAGGATCTGGAGTCTCGGAAGGTGATTGGGAGTGGCCATGAAGCGAATGGAATATACTTGCTCGATACTCCGAGACAATGCTTTGATCAGCTTAGGAATGCTGCTTTTGGTTCTATAGAGTCTGCCTGTCGAATTATGTTGTGTCATTGTCGTTTGGGTCATTTGTCTTTTTCTGCTTTGAGTCATCTATTCCCTGAATTGTTCAAGGGAATTAGTGTGTCTAGTCTTCATTGTGAATCGTGTCAGTTATCAAAGCATTGTAGAAACAATTACCCTTTGAGCAATRAAAGATCTTCTTTTCCTTTTAATRTTGTGCACTCTGATGTGTGGGGGCCTTACCACTTATCCTCTATGGGGGGCTACAGATTCTTCATCTTGTTTATTGATGATTTTTCTCGGTTCACTTGGATATTCCTGATGAAATCTCGTGATGAAGTTCCAAGACTTGTGAGACAATCTCATGAATTTGTTTTAACCCAGTTTGATACCAGGATTAAAATTTTCAGATCTGACAATGCAAAAGAATATTTTGAGAAGAACTTATCCTCCTATTTCTCTGACATGGGGGTTATTCATCAAAGCTCATGTGCTAGGACCCCAGAACAGAATGGGGTTGCTGAGAGGAAAAATAGGCATATTGTTGAAGTTGCAAGGAGCCTTTTGTTTGCCTCACATGTTCCTACAAGATTTTGGGGTGTTGCTGTTCTCACTGCTACCTACCT